CGTCCCCCCAACTAAAATATGCAGCAAAACTCTAACAAGTGGATATGATTTACTTCTCCTCCTCCTCCTCAGATAAACCGTATAGTCTTGCATGTTTGCAAGTAATACCTTGGCTACCGCTTAGTAAACTGAAAATGCCCCTCATCGGTAGCCCTCACCTTTGTGTTATTTTTTTGTCATATTCTGTACATAAAGTAAAATAATTAACCTCGAAGAGATCGATAAAATGTTTCCTATCTTGCCTGGGTTATCTACTGAAACGTTTGCTTTGGTAGTGAATACTTTTATTCCGACAATTGAGTACCGATTCCGATCTATTTTTGTCATGGAACCCCGTCGACTAAAGTGTAGAGATAGGGCGGCAAACTGGACAGCTCTTCGAGGTTCCTGCGACTCATATATCGGCCGCTTGACAACTGGGGGGTTCCATCTGCGATCACGGACTTGGAAAACTTTCCTCAACTCGCAGGAGTTCGCCGCCACTCGTACTCTCGTTTCCTTAATCAAACAGCGTTCCGGTATTGGATACCGTTTTGTTGCACATTATTTACATGGTCTGTCATTGCGATTATACCTTTTATTAATATTATTCTGTTATAGCATTATTGCACACTTTTTATTCTCTTGCCCCTCCCCCCCTTGGCTAGGATCGCGATTCAACACCGTCTTCGACAGAGGCTACGCATGCTTGGATATAGTGTACACCTTTCCGGAGGACAGTGGCATTTATTCGTGCGTCGTTTCAAATCAACTTGGCTCTGTCGCTTCCAACCCAGCCGTGGTTGAGTAAGTTCTACTCATGAGTAGTCCATACACCTGTCCTCCACACCCTCGAAGCATATGCACGCCATACAAGTTCAGCTCGATTAAGTTGAGAATATGACGGACAGTTGAATGTGCCACGATGACATTTACTTTCACGCAGCCAGATTACTTACTCATTCCGGCTGGCTTTCAGCGGGATTCGAATCTGGCTTGTTGTGCTCTGTTTGGCAACACATTTTTAAATCTGCCAGACGGCCACTAAGGCAAGGCTTCAAAAAGAGCGGTATCACTTAAATGAGCATCAATTGCATCGTATGAAATGTAGGCTTCAGTCATTGCACCTCTTCAATGGACTTGGTTCGGCTCGAGTCCCTCTTCACGTACTACCGATGGTTTCGAAGCCTGCTCATTTGGTAGGTGTTAATTGCACTTGTTCACTTTCTCTCTCGAGTCGTCCAACTTCCGGGCAGCCCCGGCTGGATTATTATGCCATTTTAACAATTTACTTGCCTGTTCTCTCATCTGTATAGTGTTATCCTGTCCGAGTGTGTCTGTAGCGCATCTCAGAAGATATTTGAGACTTCACCACCTGTTCCGCATTGCTAACCGTGTGTGATAAATTTCTGTTAGTTGAGTCATTGCCTTCATTTTGCAAGCTTAAAATTAACAAATGCATACTTAACTCTGTATCCAACCCTATGATGATAGGATAAGTTCACACCTAGCCTCACGTCGGAAGAGGCTCGATCATTCGAGGTTAGGTACAAAAAAAAAGACGCGTCCAAAACCACACAAATGTCTGTTGCCTGACGAGCCGACTTCACTGTACCTGTCTATTAAAAGGGGCTTCGCGCCCAGATCCCGGCCTAGCTTTCGTCCTGCTCAGTGCTCATCGACACGCCTGGCAGGACTCGGAGCTATCGGTCGCTCTTCATTCTCCAGACTCCATGTAAGGCTATCCCATCGCCTCGCCAGTCTTCTCCGACCGATATCACCTACTGCCCCTAAAGATTGGCGGCAAATAATGTCGTATTTATTGGAACGACGCGGCAATTGAAGCCCCATTCTCTAATGAACTGGTACTATCTGCTTTGCTGAGAGTGAATAATGTCACATTTCACTCCCATGCAATTCGAATTGGGACCTTCACAGCTGGGGGCAATAGCTACAAAGAGATATTTAAAAGCCTACAGAATGAAACAAGTAATGCCAATCCAGACTAGACATTTGGGCATTCTATTGCGTGCGATTGTGTTTATAAACTTTGAGTAATTCTAGAACAACAGCATTTCGGAAGCGAGGCTGAGTGAACTGTAATGGTATCATGAGTGTGTAAAAATCTTCGCTACCAGACCGAAACGCACCTTAAGCGACCTAGTCTAACTGAAGTTCTCATTCAAAAATTACTCTCTAAACAGCCTTACGTCGACTGTATTGTCAAATACAGGAATTCCCCATTGATAATTCCACTCTACATAAGATTTTGGAGAGGTCACTTTGCCTGCCTCTAAAGTGACATCTGCCCTAGCACCCCCAGTTGCATAGCGGAGTGGTAGCGTCACTACGTTACGCCCATGACCCAGTTTCGAGTCCCATTGTGGATGCCGATAGGGGGGAGAGGGGAGGGGGTGATCGATAATAGAGGCTAACCCGAAGATGAAGACCCTTTTGGAAGAGGAGCTGATCAAAATTCTAAGGCATCCATTTGGTTGTGGGAAATTTCCATTACCATATTCGTTATGATTAGTATTGTCATTATGGACAAGATCTCTAGTCACGCTTGGTCACTCAAGATGATTGAAGGGCTTGTAGTGGAGTTTTTTCCATGATGATATAATTTGGTTTCACAATTACATTGAATTTCACCCAGCCTTACCTTTCGTTCAGAGTTGACTGCATTTAGACTTCTCATAAACCACATTTTACTGTTGTATTATCATACTTTTGACGTTACACTTCACGGCGCTACTTATATTCAATATGAGTAGCTTCTGAACTATTATAAGTAATTATGGAATAAGAATTTAGTTGTTGAGCCTAACTCCATTTCGAGTGAAAGTGTTCGGTGAAGAGATTCGTAGGTCGATCCCAGCAGAGGTCGATGGCGGATTCCTCTTGACTAGCCGTCGGTTGGCCTTTCTGGAACATTCTTTTTGGCACTGTTTCCGAGGCAATCTCCTTCGGTTCCATTGAAGAGGTGCTAGGCTTTTATCCTTCATATGACGGACATCATCAACGCAGGATATCCTCCTCACAAACATATTCAAGCTAACGAATCAAGAAAACTTTCCGGCCAATCCCTACATGCTGCATATATGCCCTAAATTTGGGCTCTTTGATGAGGTACTAAGTAATTTGGTTAGTTCAAGTCAATGTCGCCTTCGAAGCATTTGAGTGTGTCTGTCTGTGTTTCACATATGTACGAAACCAGCAGTGATGACAGTTGTTTTCTTGACTCATTAGCTGGAATATGATTTCAGGGATGATACCCTGTCTTGATTATATCCGTCATACGACGGATGAAGCCTGGCACGTTTTCACCGGAACCGAAGGAGATTGCCCCAGAAACAGCGTCAACAAGAATGTTCCAGTAAAGCCAATTCGCCGTCGTCTTATTGTGGGATCGACCTTCGAAGCTCTTCACTAAACGCTTGGACTCGAACTAGAAGTATGCTCAACAGCTATGAAACAAGAGACTACTCGAAACCCAGCTTTTATTCGCATAAAAACTTACCACCCTACTTATATTCGGATGAGAGTAGGGTTTCGAGACCAACTACGCCAGTCAGCCAAGCTGACCTAGGACGGATAGTGGAATCTTTCTCACAATTATATGTGTAGGCCTCATGCTCATTGTGGGTGTGCTTGAAGCTGTGAGTAGTCGAGAGTATGTGAAGCCTGGTTTCCTTTGGGTAAGTCACGGCGAGTGCGATCTGAATAGCCACGATTGAAGGGAAATCCAATCCTGATTGACTTCAACTTTGATAGAACACGATATGATATTTGTCCATACAATTATCACTTTCTTATATTCGTTTGCCGGCAGCTTCTTTGGGCGAGTTAGTCGTCCACAAACTAGGTCTCACAAGACTGTTAGGCCGTACTGGAAGAGGCGACTTCTAATCGGCTCCATTCGATGTTATTTGCATCAAGCAGGTTGGTGATGTGCCTTAGAGATTGAGTCTATTTCGTCCCTGTCTGTGTATACTGCTAAGCCTACGTTTGCCTTAACGACAACAGTCTCAGTTGAAAGTTCGCTGTGCGAATGGTAGCATGTGATCACTTGACGCGCAAGACCCAGATTCAAGGCCCGTTAGGGGTAGTGATGAGACTCTTTGGCGGGGCTGACACAGCACCACAGCCCCAAGGGGAAGGTCTTTTGGGAAAGACGACTAGTTGGAGCTCCATGACACGGTGAGGTTTTCTCATTTTTGTGTGGGCAATTCAACCAATGTAGTCTCAAGTTCTTCTAAAGATCAACATGTTTGCCTCGCAATCCGAGCTCCCATGTTCGAGCCCCGCTCGGATTGCCGGGCCGAATGGATAGGGCGAGGTCGGAGCTGCCATACAGGCCGAATGAGAACAGCCCCTTGAGAATAGCAAAAATCAAAACCTATCTTCTATTCTTGGTTAGCAGAGCCGTTGTTAGTCAGGGCACATCCGCAACAATCAGGCTCATGATAGTTGCGAGCCAGATGCGGTGCTGGGGATCAAGACGGTAGCATTCCCCCAAACTTGGGCTAGGAAACCACACATATATATATACATATATAATATATATAATAATAATATAATAATATATATATAATATATAATATAGATATATTTATATTTATATATGCCTTTTTGCCTATTTCTCTGTAAAAGATTTGTAATCACCCCATTTTGTTTAAAGTGATGAAGAACTGACTGATAAAATTTCCCGCAACCATGTGAGTAGGCCTTATGTTTCCATTGAATTGCACATAGCCTTGCATCCGAAAAGGTGCCATCATCCAGGCAGACGTGAGCTGTAGTTTTGACTCCGCCTCGTCATCTCATCAGCAGCCCCAGTGCGACTCGAACCCGGCTTGCGGTAGTGCAGCCTATCGTCTCAATG